TTTTTGACATCACAGTTCTCTGCTATTTACAGCAGTTGATTGTAAAGAACACGGTGCATTAGTTATGGCCCTGTGGCTAAGTTATTCTCGCTCCGCAGGGGCAGAAGTTTTCCATGGTTATCTGTCAACTAGTTTTGTGTAACGATCCTGGATAGGCGTTGGAAACATGGGTGCAAGGAAACGAGCACATTATCTGCTGACCCTCTAACCAACATCTGCAAAGTAGGCTAGTTTATGTGATTTCTTGTTTTGATGTATGTTGCTAGATTAGCATATTAATTTTTTCTGTACAATAGATAATGGGGGACGGAACGGGACCCTAGAACCTAAAGTGCATGGATTAACGCTCTTAACCATCTTAGAACCTCAGGTGCAGAGATTAACGCTCTTAGCCGCTCGACTTACAAGCTCCTTGTAAACGCAGGTTACATTTTCATGGACATACACGTAGGTACATTGTTTTTGAGTCTAAGTACATTGTATATACATAAGTACATTTTTATACATTTGATGGAAAACAAAAGGGACCACAGTCGGTCGAAATCTGATTTGACATATCGGTATGCTAAAATTTTTTTTTTTCTAGAGGATGCAGATGCACTGTTTTTGCACGGTAATCAGTGCAGCACGTCACGGCTGGAATCCAGCCGATGTCTCTTAGTTGCACAAGAGATTAATTCAATTTCTTTTGTGTAGTGTTTTTCACATATTTATTTTTAATTCTCACATACTTTTTTTAATTTTCGGCTATTAAAACGAATAAATTGAAGAAGATTAATGAATAAAAATTAACAAAAGTATGTGAGGTAAAAATTGGTGTATAAATAGTACTTTCCTTTCTTCTCTATTCTCCACTATATTGTTTTTGGCCCAAGAGATGATATATTAAAGAGAACTTTAACGAAAAGCTCCCGATACTATTTATTTTGACAAAAAATCACATTTTACCACTAAAAAGTCAATCATGATACTATTCACTTTACCTTTTATTTTGTCCTTATCATTAAAACTCAAAATTTTCAAACTATTTTTTTAAATTTTCCTTAAATTAAATAAGGGTAGACATAATATATTAGTATTGAACTATTCGTAAGATTCTAAATTACATTTATACTTACAAGTACAAATGAATATTATTAGAATGCAGTACTAATTTTTATCCTTTCATCGTTGAAAATAATAATAGTTTTTCAATTTTTTTGACGAAAACAAGATATGGTTACAATGTTACATACCACTTAGTAGTTCATATTTTATATAAGATCTAACTGTTTTAAAGATTCTTTATATCTTCATGTGTAAAAATTAACTGTCACTTTTTCGAACAACTCAATACTCTACAGTAAGACTAGAAAAAATTGTAAAATTTATTTAGAAACAATTCACCATTTTAAGTATATTTGGTGTTAGTGTGACTAGGATCAGAATAACCACCACGAGGTGGCTTAGTAGTTAGGGATGATTTCTAAGTTCGTATTTTACATGACACGTTTTGAGTTCAATTCTTAACACTAGTAAATCGCACGATGATAGTTAAGAGAGACTGAAATGTCTTTGTGAGTTTTTTTTCACTTCCAAAAAATAAATTATAATGATGAAACCATCAAGTGGTCCTTTTTTTTTTAAAGGGAAAAAAAAAAGAAAAAAAAGGAGTATTGAATACATAAATGGATCGGTGGTTGACGCTTGACGCTTGACGGTTGACGCTGAACTTGGGAGATAACTTGCACAACGACGCAACGTTCTCGAGGGTCAAGCCTAACCCAAAGGATGTTCATCCAAAGCCAAAACCATTTCATTTCTAAAAGTCAGCATCATGTGCACAATCTAATTTTATTTATGTGTTTATTTTATTTGTTTAGGAAATGAAATATTTCAGTCAAAAGAATAGGATTAAGTTAGGTCACATAATGTGTGAGACTTGAAATCCAATTCAACAAAAAGATTATAAGTTCTCGTTATTCTTGTGAATAAAATTTGGAATTTCTCATTTACATATGCCGGATACAACACTAATTAGTAACAAAATCATAAATCGTGTACTAAAATTAATCACTTATCCATTTGAGATTGGCATAATTTTCACTAATTGTGAACTCATACTCTTGCTTTTGTATAAAAGGTTTTTCTAACCAAAATGATCCATGAGATTGACATAACTCTCACTTTGGTCCCTGACGATGTAAATCGATAAAAGTGATCCTTGAGTTTGTCAGCTGTAAATTATTTTGGTCATTCCGTGAAAAACCTGCCAACGTCCTCGTTAAGTAGAGGCGTTACAACAACAATAACAACAACAACAAAGCTTTTTCCCACTAAGTGGGTTGGCTATATGAATCCTATAATGCCATTGTGCTCGGTTCTATGTCATGTATTCTGTTAGATCCAAGTACTCTAAGTCTTTTCTTAGAGTCTCTTCCAAAATCTTCATAGGTTTTCCTCTACCCCCTTCGGCCCTGAAACTCTATACCATAATCACATCTTCTAACTGAAGCATCAGTAGGCCTTAAGTAGAGAGGTTAGTTTGACAAAAATACTCTTAGAAAGGTAATCATGTGGTCGTTTATGCAACAATTTAACAAGGACATTGACAGATTTTTTATGGAATGACCAAAATGATTTATTGTGTACAAACTTAGGAACCACTTCTATTGATATTTCTTGTCAAAAACCAAATTAAGTAGTTATGCCAATCTTAATGAAAATTTTTAAATGATAAAAATCCAAGTAAAATAACAAAATTGACCCATAAAACTAAACAAAAAGTTGAACAAGATATAAAGAGAAATTTTTTAAATATACCATAAAATTGTAGAAAGAACCAAAAAGAAACTTTTTAAATATATTAACAAAGTTCTAGAAAGGCACAAATAAACAGGCTTCTAGATGGTATTATGTTGGTAACGTAAGGTTTGATTATTCACAGTACAAAGGAGGATCCTCTTCTAATCCTAAGGTTTGATTATTTACAGTACAAAGGAGGATCCTATTCTTTTCTTATTGCATTTGCAGAACTACAAAATCAAAATACGTAAGCGACAATATTGATAGAGATTAAATTAAAATTCGTAAGTAACAATATTGATAGAGATTTATCATTGGTATTCCAAAATGCTGAACTTTTATATTTAAAAGAAAAAAAAATACACTTATAAAAAGTGTACAATGAGATTTTTAGAATGTCAATAATAATTTTCTATTAAAATCTAATAGAAAAAGTCTTCACTGCCTCATTAGCTTCTCAAAACACATGCATAATTGTGTACGGTAAAATTTTCATCATAAGATAAGGAAAAGAAAAAGAAAGCGCGCCCGACAAACTTGTTACTATATTTTTCCTTGTGGCCCAAAAATACATTGCTAGCCGTTGGATATTAGGGGTCATGAACCTAGGCAGAAACTTCCCTTTTTCCTTGTGGCCCAAAAATAAGTGTTTTGTCCGATGAAGACATACGACTTGAGATTAAGGTGTCCCCATGGTAATATCCTTTAGCACCACATACTTTCATATTAGTCGATCTCATTTGTCAATGTTAGGAGTTATCAAAACTTGTATGATAATCCTTTTTTAAAATGATTATGAGATAATTATCATTAGTGTTATATTTTTTATTTTATTCTAAATTATAAATTGCAGAAAGAGATGTAAATCTTTTATAATACGCACACTAAAAGTACTAACCTTGAGAAGTCATTGAATCGAAGCACAATGAATTACGATAGGAACCAACAAGTAAAGATCTTTCGCTCTCTCTCTCTATATGCCTTATGCACTCCTATATGGGGTAGTTTTTTATTTGTACACAAGCAATGTTTTATTCTAAATTATTCTAAAAGTGGGGAGAGAAAATCAAACTTTAATCTAAAAGAGCACATTGTTCTAGTCAACTTCACAAAACTAGAAATCTGTATAATTATCTCTTGTTGGTAATATAATATGATTCATATACTATAAATATTAAATTAAAGAGTATACTATCTTTATCAAATTTTCTCTTTTTTTATTGATGAAAATCAATTGTCATCTTTAACAAAGAGTATAATATCTTTATCAAATGTTTCTTTTGGGATCAAAAGGTCACGCATTTGGATCGTAGAAACAGTCTCTTTGTAAAAATAATGATAAAGTTACGTACATACAATAGGCATCCCTTCTCTCCAAAAAAAAAGGATAAAATTGCGTACATACAATAGACATTCCTTCCCTCCTCCAACCCTCACAAAAAAGGGAATCTTGCTTTAAAATCAATTAACATCTTCTTTAATAAGGATTAGAAACAAACCATTTTCCACATCAATTTTCCACATCATGTGCTAAATAATTACTCAAAGACAAACCGATAAAGAAACCGAAGTCTCAACCCACCACATTTCCACAAGCCGTCCCCACTCCCTTCGGCCAATCCATTGCAGCTACGTCTTAAAATTTCATCTTCCACGAAACCAATATGTAATTGAAGTCATAGGAGGCTGCGCACGTGAGTTTTATCCAAGACTTTCTGAGTTGCTTTATTACATTGAATCTCAGTCTCAATCAATCAAACCCTTATTCATATATAGTATAAAACTAATGCACTAAGGGTTTATATTTAGACTATACCATAAACTAATATTCGTGCGTTCTGATACGTGAGCGAATTCGTAACATCATGCGTCACCAGCTGTTTAATATCTGTAAGCATGCGGGCCATCTATGTGTGTGTGTGTGTGTATCTCTCGTAAGGAATCTTCGATACTTTGCATTTTTCCAATTCCATTTCATCAATCAAACTCTTCCCCTTTTCCTCCATCCTCTTCTTCCTAGAACCTCACCCGCAAGACCCCAAAACCAAAAGTCTTTGTCCGTACATTATATATAAGTAACCCTAGGGCAAAACTAGGTCATCACAATTCACGCTCACTTTTTGTACACATTTTTCTGAACCCGACAGTTGAAACTGTTTGATATATCCGTCGAGGATCTTATCATCTCTGTAATTCGTTTCAAGTTTCGAAAGGCGATGGACGTGCCCGGTGTGAACGTGAAGAGCCCGAAGCAAAGCAAGAGAAGCAGATCAAAGGGTGGTGTCAAAGTTGTCTACATATCAAGCCCTATGAAAGTTAAGACCAGTGCCTCTGAGTTTAGGGCACTTGTCCAGGAGCTCACCGGAAGACACTCCGATGCGGAGCGTTTTATGGAAACAAATAACAGTGGCCAGCATCATCAACAAAATGTTCATGAGGATTCTCATGAGCAGCGGTTGAAGGTTGTGGATGATTACGTGCTGCTGCCTCAGCTTCCTTTCCCGAATTCCTTTTATGAGTTTCCGAATTGCGCTTCGGATTCTTTGTTTGAACCATTTTCTGGGCAGTTTGAGCTGGATGTGCTCAGAAGCTATGATCAAATTTAAATTTTATAGTTAGTAATAGATCTCTCTGTAATTATCTTTTTTTTTTTTTTTTTATCGATTAATGCTGTAATAATATATAAGGGACTTCTTCCACGAATTCTTCAAGTGTAATTTTCAGTTTTCAATATAAACTTGAGTGAGAAGTGTTAATGTTAGTTGCGCAGTAGGCATGTGCTGATCGTCTTTTTTGATGAATGTTGAGTTTGCATTAGATTAATGATCAGAATTATCTCATGCACATGTAGACGACTGACTATAATATTTACCTTAGTTTTGATTTGGCCGTAGGAGAAATGATTGTATCATTTTGGACAAAAGAAAGAAAAACAACGTACCAATTTGAATAAGATAAACATTGCCGGTGACTATAACATTCAAGTACGTGGTCGGATTTGTTGGGCTGTCGAATAAAAAGTTGCCACATTGTCACAATTGGGGCTGGATTGACCAAAAGGCAAGGTATGTGTGTGTTTGTGAGGGAGAGAGGGGTCAGAGAAAAGGCCTGTTGCCCTACCCTGTATCTACGAGTACAATTATCTAAGTCTAACATCTTGTTTGAAAGAACTTTTAAAATGATTGAAAACACTTTTGAAATAAGCATACTTTTGAAAAAAGCACTAGATATATGCTTCTCGTAGGAAGCACGTCAAATGCTTTTCAGAATTCACTTGGATTTTTATTAATGATTGGTTTCACAAACATTTACCAAAAGTGTTTTCAATCATTTTAAACACTTCTAAACGAGCCCTAAGATGATTTAAGAATACCACTCATCTCTAGTTCATTACTTTAAATTCAATAAGCTTGGAAACCAATATGCAAATATACGTATACATGTCTTCATACATGTATTAGGATACAAGTATACACAAGCCAGGTTGAACAGGGTCATCCAAGCATCCAACAAACTACCTAAAACAAAACAAAACAACAGCCTATGTTGGAGTTCAGTTCCTATGCTGCTCACCAACATTTCACAAATCATTAGGAGTCGTTCATCCTTTAATCATGATGTAAAATCATTCTATTGTACAAAACTTTATCATCCGAGCTTATTTTTCCGTCATCATCTAAAGATCATCATTAAAAGAGTTCATTAAATTTGGAGACGGTTTAATCATTCATATGTTTCTCAGGCTGCAATTGCACCAACTGAACAGCTCAAACCTGGTCGTGTAAATGGCAAAAGAAGAAAAATAAAGAGTGGAAATGAACGCCAGTATATCTCTCCCTTCAGGCCGAATGCGGAAACCTTCTGTCCAAGCGCTCTGTGCCTACAAGATCAACAAGTAGTAAAAATATTCTAATATGCATCAAATTTAGCAGAAGTTATATAAAAAACTCCAGATGATGGCATCAACAGTTGATGATCAGCTTCGGTTTCAGTCAGTACATACCTGATTTCCTTGTGCAATGCAACAGTCTGAAGAGTTGCGATGTTGTTCCCTTCCCTCGATTATGCAATAGAAATCATTTCCGGACACATTGAGTACTTAAGGTAGAACGGGCACTGTCATTGGTATCAGACCACTGCACATAGAAATTGGTTCACTTAACTACGCAGATGGCAATGGCCAAATGAACCTGCACTATAACTCTAATGAATCTGCAGTACAGATTTTGTGAAAGCTTCATTTTCATTTTTAAATAACGCAAGTGTTATGGAAATCGCACCCTCAATCCTTAATTCCTTATGGTCTCACGATTCACAGATAAGCTTAACAAAAGCAAATCAGAATGATACAGTGAAGGAATACAGGGCATGCCATCGTATTTATATCTCTAGTATTTGACTACATGCAAAATGTCAAAGCTACTGGTACAAGTCAGAGTCAGGTTTGTTGATCCCTGGGGAATCTATTCACCAAGCAAAAGCACTACATATATTTAGGGACTGAAAGCCATTGACATCTACTAACCTGAAAAATGCACAAGGTATGAACCCTGATAAACGGGGTATGTTGCACATTTCTACAAAACAATATTCAAGGAAAATTAAATTCAGGAGCCACAAACAGCAAGAGTGTTTTATGACACCACGAAGAGGATGCCAACTCAAGCAGGTCATTCATATGAAAGCACATATATGTATAACCCAAAGCAGTTAGACCATGGAGTAGAAGAATGAAGAAATTTTGAGCAACACGTTGGACAAATGAAACTTTCTAAGGACAAATGAAACTTTCTAAGGACACATTTTCTGAGTTACAATCATACTGGGGCTAAAACTAACAGGGGTGATGTCGCTTCAACGTATCAAAATCATTGATGCTGGAATTCAACTTCTTTTGACCTACGAACATCATACATCCTGGAGTTCAACTTTTCCTTGGTACACACTCAATAACTGAGGTACTTCATCTATATATCTGGCCACAAACTTCTCCAGGAAGCCTTCCTCCGCAGGGGTCAACAGAGTAGACAAACTCACATTATCGATTTCCTTTATCAATCCTTTCGCCAACAAAACTTTAACAACTGAACACCTCGGGATAATTCTCTTTTCCAAACTGTAACAGACGACTATTGGGTATTTAGCAATTGCAGTTGACCGCCATCCCATCTTGTTCACTAAAAAATCCATTACTTGCATTATTTTCTCCTCCGACGTTATCATACACTGCGGGTTCTTCCTGAAAGCAGTGAGAGCATCATCCTCCGACCAACCCCAACTCTTATAAACTTCTTGATTTCGATTGCATCTAACCTTACTTTTACCACACAATGCACGCATTGCCGTCAGAAAAGTTACTTTTCCCAAGTCAAAACCCATTTTCTTAACCTCGTCCACAACTTGACAAAACTCTTCAGGCTTTAACATTAAAGTGCATGGATAATAAGCTATCAACCGAGAAATGCAGAATTGGGGCATACCTAATTCTCTCAAAATCCGAATTTTCGGCTCCACCTTCTTGGAGTGGCCTTCCACGAAGATCCACGAGCCGTGCTTCAACACAGATGCGACATTTTTCTCAGAAAGAAGACTCCTTAGGAAATTAAAAGTGGGTACAATCCGATTTTCCAAGCTTGTGGTCAAAAGCTGCGGAATGTATGACAGAGTTATTGCAAGATCCTGCCTTGAAACTCCAATAGACCTGAAAAACTCAAGCTTCGGCAAGAGGGTTTCCTCAGGATCCAATTGAAGAACTTCTGAGCGATTCCTGACGATGTTTGTGATCTGGGTTTCAGAGAGTCCATGGTTTCTGAGAACGGTCAGAACGGCGTCTGCTCTTTCCGGCGATCGTAGCTTCACTCTCTTGGATGCTGAAATTGCATTTTTTGGTGACACCCCACATGAGTTTATGAGGTAATTAACTGAGAATTTGGGTTGGATTTCTGAGGTGAAATGTCTGCAGAGTAGCAGATTTTGAAGAGGAAAAAGTGAGGGTTGTGGATCTCCAGAGACAAACCGTTGAGTTGTGGAAGCAACTATACAGGAAGATTGCGAATAACCAAATCTCAGGGACTTCAATTTGTAGAGTGCAGCCATTACGGTGTGCAGCCATTTGGGGTGCCGATGATTGATCAATTTCAATTGGAAAAAGCCCCAAAACCCTAGCGGGTAAAACTAGAAAATCTGAACCCGATCCGACCCTAAAAAATTGTATTAAGATAATGTGATCTAAGTATACACGTCAAGAATCCGTTATACTGATAAGAAAAATATTAATTTAATAGCTTTATACAATTCAAAAAAATAATATAGTTAAAAGTAATAGAATTTAATCTCACTTCTGTGAGGTTAAATCTGACACACCCCGACCGAGATCAGGGCATGCTGGCCGTCACGTGGGAGTGACGTAGCCATGTGCACAATGCGGAAGCTAAAAGAAATAATATAAAAGTACGAATAATTAAAAACTAGCATACATAATGTGATAAAGTATGTGCTAGCGTAAATAAGATGCTGAATTCAGAGCATAAAGACTACAGCAGTCCAAAGAAAATGATACGACAGTAGTACACCCGAAGGTGACCCTACACTGGTGAGTGTCTGTCAGAAATGCCGAGACGCCCTCTGGGAAAACCACCGAACCTGCTAAGCTACTAGAACCTGGAGGGGCGCAAAACAAAAAGCGTGAGTGGGCAAAAACAAATTCTTTGAAAACCATTTCATAAAATACATTATAACCCCTCGCCGTAAAACCTATATACTTCCAGAAAATAAACATATATACGTAGGTATAGATATGTCAAATATGCTCAAGGGTATGCCATCATGCTCAAAGGTATGTCGTCATGCTCAAAGCCTCATAATAATATGCAAGTGCTCAGGTATAAACTGTGTCAATAACTTATCACTGGCAGCCGGAGTCACCTAAAGTGACCTGTACAGCTGAATCTAGAGCTCAAATCTCAATCTCAACAACTAAACCTGCCCACGAGTTGGAACCACCTATAGTGGTCTGTACAACAAGCCTGGGTGTAATACATATAAACGCTCTAGTGCTACGATCACGTGAAGGCTGTGCGAATAATCGCGGGTCACCTACGAGTCGGAACCACCTATAGTGGTCTGTACGACAGGACTGTGCACCTAACTTGGATCCAAGCTGAGCGTATGGTGCGGGAGGTGAACAACACGTGAAGGACTGTGCCCTACTATGGGCGGAAGCACTAACACCGGGGGTGCAGGTTATGAGCTCTCTAAGCATCTCTAATCACTATTGAATGCATATATGAAATAACGCTTACCGGGCACTTACCTGTGCCTCTACAGCACCATTATATATATATATATATATATATATACATACACATAATTGAATTTATAAATAAACGTATGTGCAACTAATCATGCAATACCACCAATTATATAAAAGAAACGGCATATAACGAATAAGCATTTATACTAATTTCTGGGAATTATACATATATAGGTATATACGGAAAACCAAAAGCCCACTCACTGGTATGTGGAAGGGTCGTAGCCCCCCTGCCTCGAGTGTGCACGCTTGTCCTCGGGATAGGAATCACCTATATGCGAATTAACTATAAAA